TGCCATAGGCAGACCGTCAGTCCCTGAAGTCTCCCCCTCCTGGCGTCGATCTAAGGGCACGTGTCGGGTCTGCCTCAGTCGTGTAACAACATCAGGCTCCTCAAAAATAATCGACGCCTCTCTCAAACCGTACGTCCGCGGCGGATCCACTGCGCTCATCGTGGCACCGCCTGCACCCTCACGTCTGTCGTCACCGTCACCAACACTGCCACCGCCGCCACCCCCTCTACCGCCAAACCCTGCAGCTACAACATCTCGACGTCTCACGCTCATGGAAACCCCTATCAAACCTGGCTGACGACTGGCACTCGCCGTCGTCACCCGTCTCGTCTCACTCCATGGTCGATCTGTGCGACCGAACAACATGGTGTCCAGCAACTCCCGCGCACGCTGGGTAGTGTCTCTCCGTCTACGGGCAACTGACCTCGGGGTGAGGCTGTCGCCCTCCCTCGGAGCTGCGCTCAAGGGTGACAAAGGGCCTGTGGCGCCTCTTGATGGCACTGCGACCGAACCTCCAGAAGGTAAGTCCCTTGCGACCCCGCCCCATGCCGCTGCGACGGAACCTCCAGAAGGTAAGCCCCCTGCAGCCCCGCCAGATGGCGCTGCGACGGAACACCCTGAAGGTAAGCTGGGGCTGGCTGGCCCCCAAGATAAGTCCTGCACGTGAGGCAGCTTCCCCTCCCCTAGGACTGACCTCAAAACGCGCTGGTCGATCTCCATCAAATCCCTCCTGCCGTGGTCCTCCAACTCCTCAGCGGTCATAAAACCAAAAGGGAGGCTGCCTCGAGGCGTAGCCACATGCCTAATCTCCGGCCTCGTCCGTGACGGCACAAAAGAAGGGACCGGGGGTATGCACGCGCCCCTGCCTACACGTCGCTCCTCGACCGGGCCACCGCCATGTGCAGGACGCCTAAAACCCTCCAAAAACGGTGCCTGATGTGGCACCACTGGCCCCACAACAGTGCGAGCCACCAAAGTCTGTGACATGCCAACGGTCCCCGCTACGGCCCCGTCCCCCCCCGGTGGTCGGCGCTATCCCCTCCGCCTGTGCCGATGGGCGAATATCATCAACGCCCACTGACTGCTCCGTCGGTATGTCCTCCAGACCCGGGGACATATGCACGGCACCCTCGACTGAACCCGCAGGCAGAGGCACGTCCGCGACCTCTTTCAATGTCTCCTCTGGCCTCCGCTCCACGGCAGGATGCTGCGCCATCTCCGAACGTGGCTCCTCTGTCGGTGCCAACCCGCTCTCGTGCGTCTCCTGCTGGACATCCACTCCCGTACTCGAAACCTTTGCCGAAGCTGCCTCCCGCTGCGTCGTGTCGTGAACCTCTGCCGGAGTATCCGTGTAGGCAGCTGACCCCGCATCAACAGACGCCGGCGTAAATGTCCCCAGCTGCCTCTGTCGGTCCTCGGCCGCAAGACGGGCGAGCTCCTGCGTCCTGGGGTCCCTCTGTGCCATGAGGCACGCTCGACGACTATGAAGCCTATCCAGCCTCTCTGCAGATGTCTCTCCAGGGGGTGTCCGGTCCTCATCCCCCTCTGCCCCCAAGATCTTCTCTGCGCACATGGCAGGGGAGAAACTACTCGGGTCCGCGAAGCTGATCTGTCCCAATAAGTCCTGCATACCCTCACTGATGTCCCCACAGGACTCGCTCTCTCCTAGGGCCAGACCCACACTCTCTCCTGGGGGCATACCCATATCGCCAAACTCACTGAAACCGCCTCCGCCGCCCATCGGTATCCCCTCAACCGCCGCATCAGCCTCGGCACCGCCTCCACCTTCGGCCAGCGCACCACCATCTCCACCAACCAACCCCTGTCTGTCTCCGTCGTCACCCTGCACCGGCACAGGACCGCCCTCCAATCTGTCCTCCAATTGTTGTCTCAGGCCCCTCACCAATCTCTGCAATCGATCTGCAACGGTTGGCTGTCGATGAAGCTGGTCCATCGAAGTGGGAAGAGCAGTGGATGATGTCGTGCCAGATCGACCCAGAGGACGATGGCCAATCCCCGACTCTGCCCCCCTCGAAGGTGCAGACCCAGGATCTGTCTCCCGCTCAGTGGGAAGCGAAACGGTGGACGTAGGCCTCGGACGCTCTAAAGGGATCCCATGACGACCCCCAGACTCCTCCTCCAAATCAACCTGAATGAAAAGGTCATCTCCGCCACTCCGTCTACGGACGTCCTCTAGGTCGCTCCACTCATCACGCTCATCCGCCGCAGGAGTGGTGCTAGCGGGGCCGGCCGACTCGTCCTCGTCCTCGTGACCCTCGGAATCACTGTCGTCTCGAGGGTACGGGTGCAATGTGGCGGCTCGAGTTCCGAAAACATCGCCCACATCACCCGGAGGAGCTCTGGACCCACATGGGTCTCGCAGCCATGAACGTCTCTGATCCTCGACCTCCTCCCGCGTCCTACTCTCGTCCGTCCCCTTCCACGAGGGGTGAATCCCGATACCTCCCTCCATGTCCAACAACTACTCATCTAGAGTCCACGGCAGCGCGAACCCGCGACCTGCTCGCTGATGAGATAGAAGGCGGACGTTGGCTGAGATCTCAACCAACTTCGCGACCTTCTCGAACTCAAGTCGGTTACGCTTCTTCGTCAGTACACCCTCGTGGACGGCCCAATTCCTCTTCGCAGGAGAGGAGCACATCCACATGTACATCACACGAAGAGCAATAACCTGCAACTGCGGGGCGCACTGCCCGTACCTCGACCACCAACACCCGGAATCGTACGTCTTCGCATCGCCCCTGCACCTATGTGCATCTCTGTCTCCGTCTCTCCCCCCCCAAGCAATCGTCCCCCTCCGTGTGTGGAAGTCACGTAACTGTGCACATGCGGTCTCGTAGTCGAGGCTCGCCACACTCAACCCTGTCTGCGACAAGATGTAAGTTTCTGCCTCCCTCACCCAGCTCGCGTCATAGTCGCTGACCACGCCCTCGAAGTACCGCAAGTCCCGCCGGCTGGGACAGAGGAGGTGAGCAGCGGAGTGCGCCGGCTCCAGCATGTGAGCGCATCGAGCCTGCACCCTCTGCACAATGTAGTGTGCAAGATCTGGCGGAAGTGCACAAACCTCCTCTGCCACCTGGCGGGCCAGATCCTRCRTCCACTCAACCAYCCGCGACATGTSCASCCCTCYKHGGTCCAACCTGCGCAGCAGGTCGTACACAGGCTCCATGATACGGAGCAAGATGCCCATGGAATCCCACCAACTGCCATGTCGCACCTGCCACCTGACCCACCTAGCCAAATGACGAACTGAATGGTCCCAAGGGACCATACCCCAACTATCGCCATCCACCGTCCTCTCCAAAGCTGACCTCACTGCCAGCAAACGCTCCACCATCATGAACACGGATGCGAAACGTGTCTCGCAAGGATAGATGAGGCCCATCTGACTGCTCTCCCCCCGGAAGATATGGAGAGCGGCGCCGTGCTCCTTAATGAAGCGCACCACCGCTCTCCCCCTCACAATGATGTCCTTGGACCACGGGCCCGAACAGCCAATGTCTGACAACATCTTGTTGCAGACATACACTGCGCATGGGAGCCACGTGATCCGTCGATGCTCCGGCCTCTGCTGGGGCCCCTGGAGCATGTTCGCCGCAGTGACGTACGCCGAGGCGGAGTCGGTGCAGATGGCATTCACCCACTTAGGGGGGAAGTCATCGAACACCTTGATCCACCGCGCCAACACATTAGGCGCCCGATCCCGCTCACCCTCCCTGTTCATCATCCAGACGAGCATCACCCCACGCGACCCGCCGGCAAGGAAGTTAACGATGGGTCTAGCATCGCGTGACTTCCTTCTGTCTGACATAATGGTGGCCCCCGTGACATAGAAAGGAGCCCTGACCTCCGCGAGATCAGCTCCCACATCGTCCGCTGTGTGGACAATGGTCTCTATGTCCGCGATCTCAATCTTTGAAGGCCACAACACCTTCACTGGCCCCGGCAAGTCCCTGAAGTGTCGGGCGACGTCCAACCATGGCTCGCTTCGGAAGACGTTGAACGCCAGGCGCTGACTGTACACAAACCGCAGCCACTTCTTCTTGAACTCCATCTGCCACTTTGAAGTGAACGACTTCGTGATCGTGTTCTGTCTCATCCTCTTCTGTGCTGCGGCTGCTGCCGTCGGTCTGTCCCCCTCCTCTCTCTCCTTCCTCTTCCCCGCAGACGCACTTGCCTTAGGCGTATCCGCACCTGCCCGTGTACGAACCGACACGTGCGCCGACGCAAAGTACTGGCCCTGTTGCCCCCCCGGCTCGCTGACAACGCCCTTCCCTCGCTCCCTCCTTGACGACCCCGCCCGTGCAACCTCCTCGTCGTCGTCGCCCACATTGATCTGCTCCCCTGCGTCCCTCATCTCTCCCTCCCCCCCTCGTCCCGTTGCGGATCCACCGCAGGCGCCGCACCGTGAAGCTCCTCAAATCGCTGTATCCGCTCTAGGAACTTCTCAGACATCTTGTACTCACTGTTATAGTGGATGTCGACAAGTGCCTCGTCTGTCACTTCCGGACATCCCTTGCCCTGGCGGAAATGGCGCGCTGCCACGAACTGGTTGCCCTGGAACTTGTGGCCGCAGAAAACGAACTTCAACATGCGATTGCCGCGGAATCTCTCGCCGAGACTCTGTCCCACGTGGATGTACTTGTACACGCAGCACTTCTTCTGCGCCTTCAGATTCTCGTCCTCCCCCCCATCCTCAAACACCCGAGATTGACTTCGCGGCGTCGTGCCTGCTCGCCGATGGGTTCATAGAAGCGGTCCGCCCCTAGCCTGTCCCACGAAGCCCCAACTCCCGCCGGCGTCCCTCCCCGCCGCAGGCCTCGTCGGGCCCACCCCTAGCTGCCCCCCCCCGTGTCGCCCCCCCCCCCCAAACCACCCCCCCAATGGTCTCGAATCCCCGTCGCTCGCCGGAAATGCGACACGGAATGCGCAAAGGCCGCACCCTGCAGCGTCCGTTCAAAGATATTGAACGCGCGTCCAAACAATTGAACGCGCGTTCGATAAATTGAACGTGCGTTGAATGCGCGTTCAATTTTTAGTCGCGTTGCACGCCGATGCCGTCCTCGTCGCCCGCCGCCTCGCTGTGCCGTAGACGTCCCCGCGCGCCTCCACGTCGTCGTCGCTCTCCACGCGCTGCGCCGTCTCTCTCTCTCTCTCTCTCTCTCTCTCTCTCTCTCTCTCTCTCTATCTATCTATCTATCT